AAAACTACAAATCTGTCACTTATCTGCTTAACGCAGGCGTCTTCAAACTACGGCCCGCGGGCCACATGCGGCCCGCAGAGGAGTCTGATCCGGCCCGCCAGGTTTTTTGGGCAGTGAGCGCAGCTGAGGTGTTACAGTAGGAATTAGTAGTTCATATAGTCCGGCCCTCCTGCTCTCTGAGGGACTGTGATCTGGCCCCCACTTTAAAAAGTTTGAGGACCCCTGGAAAGCATTGGCTTCTTTCCCGTTATGCTCCATACATCGCACTTTGTGGGGAGGGAGGAATCAGGTTTTAAAGGCTCTGTACATCTGACCACTGCTAACCTCTCCACTCATCCTCTGTCCCCTAGCTATACTGGCTTCTCTTTCTTTCTTGAACATTCCAAGCTCTATTATGCCTCAAGGTATTTACCTTTCCCTCTATTTAGAACATTCTTGGCTAAGTCATTTGGCTAAATCCCTCTGGACCTTCCAGTTTGGGTACCTCCTCAGAAAAATTTTCCCTGACCTTCTCTACCTAAGTGATTTCCCCTGTCCCATTCCAACATTGCCCTCTGTCCCTGTGGCATGTCTTTTCACTCACAGTCCTTGCTATTTGGCTGTCTTTGACACTAAGCTGTTGGCTTCCCCAGGGCAAAGATCACATCTGTTTCACACACCAGTGTATCCCTGGTGCCTAAGCTTGAGTCTAGCACAAAGTAAATTACTCACTACAGTTTTGTTGAAAGAATGGATTAATTAGCAAATTAATTCATCATCAACACTCAGAGCCTGGAGAATGTGGAGGGGTGGAGCTTGTGAGAGGATACAGAGGATGATGTTCCAGATATGGTCCTTCTATTCCATGATGCCATAATCTGATTTATGAAAAACAAGTAAGTAATACACTGGCGATCAGAACTGGAACAGAGAGAGGCCCGTACCCCAGTGTAGGGTATATAATTAGAAGAAAGCCTGTGTTTACATGATCCAGGGCACCAGCATCTCCCTAAAAGGACGTGTCTTCTTTTAATAATGAATGTTTACCTAGATACCAAGTTCCATGTACTGTTTCTTGGTTGTTGTTTTTTAAAAGTATATTTTATTGATTTTTCACAGAGAGGAAGGGAGAGGGATAGAGAGCTAGAAACATCGATGAGAGAAAGACATCGATCAGCTGCCTCTTGCACACCCCCTATTGGGGATGTACCCACAACCAAGGAACGTGCCCTTGCCCGGAATCAAACCTGGGACCCTTCAGTCCTCAGGTCGATGCTCTATCCACTGAGCCAAACCGGTTTCGGCTGATTCTTGGTTGTTTTTAACGTGCTCACAGTTATAGAGCTGGGATTCAAAGCCAGGCAGTCTGGCTCCCGAACCTATAACCTTTTACTTTTCCACTAATTTGAACTGAAATTCAAATAACATAAAGTTAACCATTTTGAAGTAAACAATTCAGTGGCACTTGGTACATCCACAATGTTGTACAACCACCACCTCTATCTAGTTCCAAAACATTTCCATCACTCAAAAATACAACCCCTTAACCATTCAGCAGTTTACCCATCACCCTCCATGTACTATGTTTGATCCTCACAGACCCAACGTACAACAGTGGAAAGTGAAGCTCTGAGAAGTTTAGTGATAGATCCAAAGTCACATAGCTAGTCAGTGTGGAGTAGTGATTTTGAACCTTAATTTTCTGACTCGCATAAACCTTTGATTAATACACGTTTGGACAAACTCACAAAAAGGGTGTAAGGTCCCAGCTGAGAGGTTTGCAACGCAGAAGCAAGACACGGAATCCAGACGATTAAAAGGGAGGTTTTTGTTTTGTTTTTTAAATATATTTTATTTTTTTACAGAGAGGAGGAGAGAGGGATAGAGAGCTAGAAACGTCGATGAGAGAGAAACATCAACCAGCTGCCTCTTGCACGCCCCCTCCTGGGGATGTGCCCACAACCAATGTACATGCCCTTGACCGGAATCGAACCTGGGACCTTTCTTTCAGTCCACAGACTGACATTCTACCACTGAGCCAAACCGGTTTCGGCTGGACTGGAGTTTTATTTTTTTTATTTTTTTTATTTTTTTAAAATATTTTTATTGATTTTTGTACAGAGAGGAAGGGAGAGAGATAGAGAGATAGAAACATCGATGAGAGAGAATCATCGATCAGCTGCCTCTTGCACACCCCCTACTGGGGATATGCCTGCAACCAAGGTATAATACATGCCCTTGACCGGAATCGAACCTAGGACCCTTCAGTCCCCAAGCCGACGCTCTATCCATTGAGCCAAACCGGTCTCGGCTTGGACTGGAGTTTTAGAGTGAATTTTGTTGGGGCAGCGACCTACTGTAGAGGCTGTGAAGGGCACACTCAATTGTAAGAAACTGAGTTGACCAATGGACACAAAACTCTGGGGAGGGAGGGCAAGGGTATATGTACAAAGATAATAATAAAAAATTTAAAAAAAAAGAAAAAAAAGAAACTGAGTTGAACTAATACGGCTCAGGACGGCAGCAAGTATGGGTCGGCAACTAAGTAATTGCGGATTTTTAAAAGAACATCAAAGACAATTTTTTCATGGAACTAAATAACTTTATTCTGTAATGTATTGCCCATTTTGATCAATGACCTTTTGCCATCTTTCAGGCAGCGTCATAATCCCACGTTCAAAAAACTTCTGGTTTTTATTAGCAAAAAACTGAATCAGGTACGATTTGACATCATCATCATTATTGAAATTTTTACCATTCAAGGAGTTTTGTAAAGATCGAAACAAAAAGTAATCAGATGGTGCAAGGTTAGGACTATATGGTGGATGTGGCAAAACATCCCAACCAAGCTCCATTAATTTTTGCCGAGTGACCAAAGATGTGTGTGGCCTTGCATTGTCATGATGGAATACAACACCTTTTCGATTTGTCAATTCAGACCGCTTTTCTTCAACTGCATTGTTTAATTTCATTAGTTGTTCAATGTAGACATCAGAATTGATCGTTCGGTTGGGTGGTAAGAGTTCAAAGTAGACAATTCCTTTGTAATCCCACCAAACTGATAACAAAACCTTCTTTTGATGAATATCAGCTTTTGATGTTTTTTGAGTTGGTTTACCTGGCCTGCTCCACGATCTTTTCCGCTTGATATTGTTGTAAACAACCCATTTTTCATCGCCAGTTATCAGTCGTTTTAAAAATGGATCATTTTCATTACGTTTCTTTAGCAAATCGCAGCTGCTAATGCGTTGCGTTAACTGTGATTCTTTCAGTTCGTGAGGAACCCATGTATCGAGTTTTCGAACATAGCCAAGTTGTTTTAAGTGATTTTCAATGCATGTATGTGATACATGAAGCTTCTCTGCAATCTCACGTGTTGTACTGTGACAGTCCGAATTGATTATTGCTTTGATTAGGGCGTCATCAACTTCAACTGGACGACCAGAGCGTTTTTCATCTTTGAGTGAAAAATCACCAGAACGAAATTTGGCAAACCAATTTTGACACTGCCGTTCTTTTAAGGCTTCGTCACCATAAACAGCACATAACTTTTTATGAGCTTGCGATGCGTTTTTCCCTTTGCGGAAATAAAAAAGCAAAATATGACGAAAATGTTCCTTTTGATTTTCCATTTTTCAACGAACGCCAAACGAAAACTACAAAACAGATCAAAAAACTTTTCTTACTGATTAACAGCTGAATAGCCAACTATCAAATAACAAAATGTGTTTTACATTTGTACTACGTCTGCAAACCTAAAAATTCAACTGAAGCCATGTGTGAAACCCGCAATTACTTAGTTGCCAACCCAACAGTAATGTGGGACCCAGAGCAACTCGAGGGCGGGGCCTCGGACCGGTCAGCCTTCCAAGAAGCTTTGCGGAAGCCTCAAGAAGGATCAGTTGGAGAGTTCCTGGGGCAGCCCCTAAAAGGGCCAGCAGAATAGCCAGCAGGGTGTGGCTTGCTTTCTGCAGGCGGCCAGGCCCAGCCAAGAAACCCCAGGTGGCTGTTTTCCAGAGAAGCTGGGGTGCAACTGGAGAACCCAGAGTAGGAAGCAGGCCTCAGGCCAATTGCATCCACTCTGAGGGGTCCTCCAGGGCCAGAGGACCCTCAGGAAGGCCTCGCTTTATATCTGTCTTCCCCCTTCTGGAGGGGCTGTCATCACTCAAGCGTAAGGTGACCAGACGTCCTGATTTTTAACAATTTGTCCCGCGTCCCGCGGCGTTTTAAAAAAAGTCCAAAAGATTTAAAAGAATTTTCCCAAAAATCGGGACTTTTTAAAACGCAGCGGGACGCGGGACAAATTGTTGGAAATCGGGACGGTCCCGCCAAAAGCGGGACGTCTGGTCACCTTACTCTAACAACCCTCTTCCTCAACAGAGGGGTGCCCTCTCTGGGATTTCCCCCTTTCCCTCTGGAGGTCAATGACCCTAGAGTTCTTCCTATTTTAGGGGTCTCAGACAGAGCACCCTCTAAGTTGCCTTATGGTTTCTCCTTACCCCTCGAGTGAGAGTGCTACGGCCCCTCCTGCCCTGAGGATGGAGAGAGAGGTTCTCTCACAAGCCCCCGCCTTCTCCAGGCTCCGGCGGGGGAAGTTCTACTGCAACAAAGTGCCGCGTTCGGCCGACAATGCCCTCGGGCTCCCGACGGGCAGTTCCAGGAAAAACAAAACAAACAGCTTAACTCCGCGGAGGTATCGCGAGAGGCACGCGCGGAGGCGCCGCGGCCCCGCCCCGGAGAGGAGGGCGAGGGCGGGAACAGAGCGTGAAGGGGGCGGAGCCTGGGCGCTTCCGAGGTCGAGGCGGTGGACGGTCCCTCCCAGCCGCGTCCCCGCGTGACTGAACTTTTACATAATCAAGGCCGCGCGCGTCATAAGTGGCGTACTCCAGCATAGAACCAATCAGAGACGTCGGGAGCTGCATGTCCCGCCCCTTTGGGCTTGATGGATGTCGGAATGACCAGTAAACAGGTGCCTCCCGTCGCCTCGCCCGCCCAGATCCGGCCGCACCCACCCGCCCGCCGCGGCCGCCGCCGCAGCCCTCAGCCCGCCGTCGCCGCCGTCGCCTCCGCCGGGTTGCGCCTCCGACTGTCAGCTAAAGCTGCGGACGGAGCCCGCGGGGCGGCGACCACGTCCCGGGCCGGACATGGCGGCGCTCTACGCCTGCACCAAGTGCCACCAGCGCTTTCCCTTCGAGGCGCTGTCTCAGGGGCAGCAGCTGTGCAAGGTGCGCGGGCCGGGGCGGCGGCCGGGGCCGGGACGCTGGAGGCGCGGGCCGGAGCTCCGGGGCTGCGGGGACGCCCGGCCCGGCGGCAGGGGCCCCGCTCAGGGCGTGGCAGGCTCGCCCCGCTGCGGAGCCGCACCCTTCCCGCGGGGGCTGGCGGGGGAGCCCCAGACCCGGTCCAGGCCCCCCTGGCGGCGTGGCCGCTGCTTAGCAACGGCGGGGTGTCCTCGGACCCCGGGAGGGCGGGGGAGTGGGCCGCGGGTCCCCTGCTTGGCCCCGGCCAGCCGCGCCGGAGCTCCTTCGTGGGCCGGCTGGCTTCGCCGCCGCCGCCGCCGCCCCTGGGGTGTGCCTCGGGGTTGCCGGCCGAGGGGTCCCCCAGCCCCGCCCGGGACCTAACTCCAGAGCCGGGCGCTGCCGGGGAGGAGTGGGGGAGGAGTGTCCGGAACGCGGGCGCCTCCGGGCTCTTCTCAGCCGGCCTCGGAGTCAGGGACGGAGAGGGTTTTAGAAAAGGCCCCCCACAGTCAAGCGCACGAAGCAAAAGGATGGTATTCTCAACATCCAGTTGCTGACCTACCTGGGTCCTCATCCTAACCAGCTGTTGGTCAGTGTTTACCCTGGAAGGTTTAAGGTCTCTTTTTCGTTTAAGTTGCTTCCTCCTGCTTTGCCTATTTAAGGGGAGAGAAATGACATTATACAGGAGTCTTACATACGTAAGTAATGATGATTTTAACCCAGCACGTAAATCTCACAAGTGAACCTGCTCAAAAATCACACAGTGGCAGTGGCAGAGCTAGACTAGAGTCCAGGGCTTCTGACTCCAGTCTTAGACTTATTCATACAGACCTTGGTTTTACAGTTTATGACGACTGAGTAGTTCCGTATCAAGTCGTGACTTATCTCCCGTGTCAGTGCATTACAGAGGAAAAAAATAAGGCCCAGGACGTTTAAGTGACTCACTGAAGCACAGTGGCTGTGCAGGGGTACTGAAGGCTGTTTCCGTTTCTGACTGCCTGTTAAAATTATATCCTCATTTCATTTCAGGAATGTCGGATTGCACACCCTGTTGTGAAGTGCACCTACTGTAGGACTGAATACCAGCAGGAGAGGTACAGTTTTTCTTGAGCATGAAAAATGTTAATGAGCTTTTTTCCTCTTAAAACTTGTAATCAATTTTACTTTACACAGATTCTGCAGGTGTTTTTGTGTATGTCTCTGTGTGTGTGTGTTTTAAGAGAAGGATTTTTTTTAATACGTTTTATTGGATTTTATTTATTTACTTATTTATTTATTTATTTATTTATTTTTTACAGAGAGGAAGGGTAAGGGATAGAGAGTTGGAAACATCAATGAGAGAGAAATATTGATCTGCTGCCTCCCATACTCTCCCTACTGGGATGTGCCCACAACCAAGGTACATGCCCTTGACTGGAATCGAACGTGGGACCCTGAGTCCGCAGGCCCGCTCTCTACCCACTGAGCCAAACCAGTTAGGGCTGGGCATGTGTCCTTTGTGGGAATCAAATCTGGGACCCTTCAGTCCACTGGCTCACTCTAGCCACTGAGTCAACCGGTTAGCACAGCAGTTTTTTATTATAACACATTGATGGATATTAAATACACATGTTCCCAGATATGTCTAATTTTGATGGTTTAAAATTTTTTTTTTTAAACATTTTTGTTGACTTTTAGAAAGAGGGGAAGATAAAGGAAGAGAGAAACACAATGTGTTTCTCTCCTGCTCCCTCTCCCTTGGCCTGGGCCCTGACTGGGAATCCAACCGGCAACCTTTCAGTAAACCAGAGGACATCCAACCAACTGAGCCACCTAGTTATGCCTAATTTTGATGGCTTAAATATTTTAAGTTAACTTTTCTTCAGATCCTTGATCATTTTATATTGTGGTTATAATCTTTATGACACCCAGAAACCACAGGAGTTAAACATGAGCCTTATGTTCCAGTATGTCTATATTCAGAGTTTGAAGAAGTTATGAGCTAAAAGAAGAAGCTTTTGGAAATGTGGCAATCCTGGAAAAGGATTAGCTCTAGTCACATTTGAAACTTGTTTTAAAAAGTGTGAAAAACACTTAGGTACTTAGGTATGAATAAACACATCTTTGGGGGGGAGGGTGCTTTTCTATAGCAGTAAAGCGATTTGTGGTGTATTAGTATAGTAAGTCCAACCTTTGTGGAACTGCAGCTGTTAGCGACGGTGCCTTACGCATGGTTGGTCCTATTTGCTAGCTCACACGTGGAAACATACAGAATATACTCTAGAAGCTTTTATTTTTAGCTTTTATATTTAGGTTTAGGATTCATCTTTAATTTTTTTTTAAATATATATTTTAGTGACTTTTTCTACAGAGAGGAAGGGAGAGGGATAGAGAGCTAGAAACATCAATGAGAGAGAAACACTGATCAGCTGCCTCCTGCACACCTCCTACTGGGGATGTGCCCGCAACCAAGGTACATGCCCTTGACTGGAATAGAACCCAGGACCTTTCAGTCCACGGGCTGATGCTCTATCAACTGAGCCAAACCAGTCAGAGCATCATCTTTAATTTTTGTGTGTGGGGTAAAATAAGTTTGACCCTTAATTCATACGTACATAAACATTAATTCAAGGTGGATCATGGAAATAGTTTTACTTTGCATGTTTTCTAAGATATTAGGAACACTTACATATATTGATAATATATCCCACCTCTTCAATAATAAATATAAGTATATACCAAAATATCAGCATCACAGAATCACTGATGCTAATCCTCTTTTTAGAGGTCTCTCAATGTACTTCACTCCTTTTACTGTCTTCTTAAAATTGCAGAAAGTTGCCCTGGAAAATATTTTCTTTGAATGTCTCGTTTTAATTTAAATGTTTTCTATTTTGAGGTTTTTCTTTTGTCTAATTTTCATAGGAATTATATGGTAAAATAATCATAACATAGAAAATAGGCTGGATTCACTATGTTATAATTTTGTGTGATTTTATTTTTATCTCCAGAATATTGTTTAAACTGTTCTTGCACATCAATCACTTGTTTGTACATCCCTTTTTAAAGAGCTAGACTTTATTTGAAGATGATTTCTACCCTCCCCTTCCCCCCTCCCCCCCAAAAAAGTGGTTTATCAGTTCAGGCATATAGGTAATGTTATGTATGAACTCTGGCAAAGGACATTTTTATTTTTGTCAGTTTTGGCTCTTAGACAAATGGGAAATATTGACTAAATATCTGATCATAGTATCTATATCGCCACATCTGGAATTTTCATATTTTTTTTGCTTACAGGGGAGAGCATAAATAAAGGTCAACATGGATATAATTTCTGAGTTTCTATTTCAAACATATATTTAATCTTAACCTCAAATTTTTAACTATTCATCTGAACTAAGGAAAATTAATTTCTTTTCTGCGAGTCCAATTCAGTCTAATATAACATTCTTTTTAAAAAGTGTATTTTATAATTTTATTTTTTATAAACTTGAGAGAAAGAAACATCAATGTGATTGATTGCGTCCCACACACCCAACAGGGGATCGAACCTGAAACCTGGATATGTGCGCTGACTGGTAATCTAGCCTGCCACCTTTTTGGTGTATGGGATGACCCTCTAACCAACTGAGCCACACCAACCAATCAATCTTTGGTTGATTCTTTTTTTTTTTTTTTTTTTTTTTATATAGTACAATATGTTTATTGATTTCAGAGAGAGGAAGGGAGAGGGCTAGAGAGATAAAAACATCAATGATGAGAAAGAATCATTGATTGGCTGCATCCTGCATGCCCCCTACTGGGGATTGGACCCACAACCCGGGCATGTACCCTAGCTGGGAATCGAACCATGAGCTCCAGGTTCCTGGGTCTATAGTCAACTACTGAGCCACAGCAGCCTGGCCTTTGGTTGATTCTCATATGTGTCCTGACTGGGGTCAAACCCACAACCTTGGTATATCAGGTTGATACTCTAACCAGCTTACCCAGCCAGGGCTTTACCATAATATTCTATTGAGGTCCCTCTCCATATTTGATAATTTTACTTAGAGATATCATAATCACAAATAACTCACTATTTTAAACCAAAGAATCATTTTATCTGAGTTAATAAAAAACTACAAAATAATTAAAAGAGCTCTTGGCCAGATACTCAGTCTTCAGATAAACAGATGTTCAGACTGTATTTCATCTTGGCACAAAGCAATGAGCAAATTACTTGGACTTAAGGAGGAACCAATGTTCAGATGTCTTAACTAAAACAACTTTTTTCTTATAAAAGCCTTGTGTCTCTTTCTTCCTTTACAGTAAAACCAGTACAATATGCAAGAAATGTGCTCAGAATGTGCAGTTGTATGGAACGGTAAGTAGTTTTCTGTGTACCTAACAGTAAGTGCTCAGGTCTTTTAGAACCTTACATTCTGTGGACTATTAATGTAATTACTATATTTTTATTAAAGAACTAATTATGTGTAAATACTTTCTCATAAAAATTTATCTAGTGTTTGAATTTTCAAACTCAGCTAATACTTAGTTTTGAGGAGTTCTGTATTTACAGTCACTGTTTCAGGCTTGTAATTCTAGTTTTCCTGAGGGGCTACAGTAACCAATATGGAAAGAGAAGGAGAAAGATGGATTCTATGACTTGACCTCTTTGGTAGCAGTCAACTATTCTTTTTTTACCCCCATTGACTTTCAGAAAGAGTGGAAGAGAAGTGGGGAGGTGGGGAGAGAGAGAAAGAGAAAAACATTGATGTGAGAGAGACACATAGATTGGTTGTCTCCTGCATGTGCCTGGACTAATGCCAGGAATCAAATCTGCAACCCAGGTACCTGTCCTTGACTGGAATCAAACCCAAGTCCTTCAGTGCACAGGCCAATGCTCTAACCACTGAACCAAGTCAGCCATTGATGAGTGATTTTTTTTTCCCCTCTCAGGGTGAGGGGTTCAGGATACTGTGGTTTTGCAGGCGTTTTTTCCAACATGTTTATACAATTACTAGAGGCCCGATGCCCGAAATTCATACAAGGGCCTTGGCTCCGGCCCGCCACCACCACAGCTTGGACCTCTGTCGCTTCTGCCTCAGCCCCTGCCTACTGCAGCTTTGTCCAGAAGGAAGGACATCCAGTCTAATTAACATGTTAGGCTTTTATTATCTATCTATACTAATAAAAGGGTAATATGCTCATTAGACCGGGAGACCTTCTGGACATCCTTCCGGACAAAGCCATGGTGGTGGGACTAAGGCAGAGTGGTTAGGGCGATCAGGCCAGGAGGGGAGGGCATTTGGGGGTGATCAGGTCGGCAGGGGTAGGCAGTTGGGGGCGAGCAGGCTGGCAGGCAGAGTGGTTAGGGGTGATCAGCCAGGCAGGCAGGTGAGCGGTTAGGAGCCAGCAGGGATTGGGCCTAAACTGGCAGTCAAACATCCCCCGAGGAGTCCCATATTGGAGAGGGTGCACCAGGCCACTAGTTATAGATAATGGAAAAGAGGCCTTTACCAGAAAATTGGAAGTACTTGCTGGTTTCTTCAAAGAGCTGTTTCTGTCCCAACAATAATTTTTGTTATTTGTTCATTTATTTATTTTAAAATTAATAGTCCTTCACATAAAAACACTTTACATAGTGCTAGGAATTGGACTTCACTTGACCCATCAATATAAAAGGAAACTTAGGAAGTTTTACCATGACTATGTAATACAAATAATAGCTTTAAAAAAAGGCATTGGTGTTTTATATTATACTTACTTGACCCTTTTTCTCCCTCTTTTAGCCCAAACCATGTCAGTATTGCAATATAATCGCAGCATTTATTGGTAACAAATGCCAGCGCTGCACAAATTCAGAGAAGAAGTATGGACCACCATATTCTTGTGAACAGTGCAAGCAGCAGTGTGCATTTGACAGGAAAGATGACAGAAAGAAGGTAAATCTCTGTTTTTCTTGATTTTTTTTTCTCTTTCAGAGACATGAAGTTGGCCAATTGTGTTAAAAAGGCCTATAACGGAAATGTATTATAGAAATTATGCACCTGAAACATATATAATTTTATTAACCAATGTCACCCCCAATAAATTCATTTAAAAAAGAGAGATAACAGAGAAAGATTTCTTACTTCACTCCAAGTTCTGTTATTGACCTCAAAGAAGATACTCAGCCTTTGTTTACTTCATTATCAAATGTGGACCCTTACATCTAACATTTTATGAGTTAGTATTTCATGAGAACCTGAATTATAGTGATCAATATCCCACAGAAGTGAACTGGCAGAATTCTATAGAACTCTGTAAAGGAGAGATTGTGACTCAAGATGAGTCATGCTATCAGTTTTATTGTCTGGCTATTTATTTATTTTTACTGCTCACCCGAAGATATGTTTGTTTTTATTATTGGTTTGAGAGAGAGAAATATATATGTAAGAGAAATATTGATTACGTGCCCACCTGGGGATTGTACCTGCAACTTGGGTATGTGCCCTGACCAGGAATCAAACCTGCCACCTTTTGGTGTATGTGATGACACTCCAACCAACTGAGCCACACTGGCCAGGCTACTATTGTCTGGCTCAACTGACTTGCCTAAGTTCACACAGCTCCTAAATGGCAGAGCTGGACTTAGCTCAGAGGTTCTAGCTTCCTATATTCATGTTCTCTAGTATCCGTGTACTTTGTTTCATCTTCTTTATCTCCGTCTCCTTGTCTTTCAGGTAGATGGGAAATTGCTGTGCTGGCTGTGCACACTTTCATACAAACGGGTCCTTCAGAAGACCAAAGAGCAGAGGAAGCATCTAAGCAGCTCTTCCCGTGCCAGCCACCAGGAGAAGGAGCAGTACAGTCGCTTGAGTAGTGGCAGCCATTATAACAGGTAGCCCCCTTACCTGTAAGAGATGCCTCGAAGTGCTGATAGGTCAGGTGTAATGCTCACACAATTAGCCATAGAAGATACCATTATGTGTATATTTTTCTTTTTCTTTTCTCTCCCTCTCTCTAATTACTAGCTTATGGAGGAATCTACTTTGTCATATTTTATAATTCATATGTTTTCCAAGAGCCACAGAGACTTTATGAGTTATCAGAATTTTCTGACTTGGTTTGTATTGTGTCTGAAGAGTTTGTGAACTTACTCCACTTTCACATGTCTTGTTCTCCTCACTCTTAGAGTTGATTATTTCCCTGGAAGATTGGTCATGCCACTTTCTGAAGGACGTAGCTGTCTGGCCAGGAGGTTGATAGATGTTCTAGGTTTTTCCTGGTAGTGTTGTGAAGAGTTCTGACTCTGGATTGAATCAGGCTTTTCCAGGCTCTCTACATGAGAACTTGGACAAGTTTTTCATCTGTAAAATGAGAGAAATAATATCATTACCTCATGGAGTTGTTTTGAAGATAAATTATATAGTTCATACATAGTGATTAGTTTTATAACTGGCATATAGGAAACATTTGATACATTTTAGTTACTCCTGTTTATTATTACTAGTATGATTGTGTGCGGTTTGGTAGGGAAGGCAGACCTGTAATCAGATCATTGCGGTGTAGTTCTGTGGAAGCATGGAAACATCAATTCCACAGTGGAAATGTCAAGATATAGGTATGAGAGGCAGTGGTACCTAACTGCCGTAGGAAGGAAGGCTGGGAGAAGAGCTGGTGTTGGAGCTTTATCTTAGGATGTTAGAATCATCAGGTAAGGAATGGGCAGAGGCATTCTAGGCTGAGGGAATAGCATTTGCACAAAGACATAGAGGATGTGAAACTACGTGGAACTGTGGTGAATTGAAAATCCTGTTATTGAAGCTTATGGTTAGGAGCTGGGAAATGGGAGGAAAAGGGATTCTGTAGATCTCATAAGAAACATAAACTTAATCATGGGGTTAATAAAATTAACCCTGATTATTACGGAGAATATAATAAAGGAAAAAAAGACTGGGGGCTAATTTTTTGTTGTTGTTGTTTATTTGTTTTGTAAAGTCCAGGAGAGAGATGTTAATTCAAGAACCTCACTGAGGCCCTGGTCACTGTGGCTCAGTTGGTTTAGCATCCCATGCACCAAGTTTGCTGGTTCTCCTGCAATCCCAATAGATGTTTCTCTTGTTTCTCTCTCTCTCTCCCTCTCTCCCTCCTTCCTTCCTCTCTCTAAAACCAATAAAAACATGTATTTTTAAAAAAAAAAAACAAAACAACGGAACACAAACTTCACTGAGGCAGTGGCTCCAAAGAGGCAGATTCAGGAAGATACTTTAGAGCAGGGGTGGGAAATGTCCGATCCCATCATTTGGTCTGGCCCTGCCGAGGCAAGAGGAGTGTTTGACCAAATACAGCAGGCTGATTTCTAAGTTGATAATTTTGTATGGCCCACAAATGATGTTACAAATATCCAAATGGCCCCTGGCTGAATAAAGGTTCCTCACCCCTGCTTTAGAGGGAGAAGTAGATAATTTGATAAACGTGTAAATGGGCAGGAACTGGGTGAGTAAAGGATAATTCTCATGTTTCTTAGATTCTTAACTTACAGAGGATATAGGAAGGGGAGAAGAGAAGTTCAGTTTTGAAAAGGTGAGTTTGTTGAAGCATCAAAAAGAATTATTTAGTGGGAATTTAGCCTATAACTCAGAAGTTTTGATATAGGCCATTAGTTACACTTGTCAGTGAGACTAGAGGTTATTTAAAATGCAGATTCCTTTGTAGTCCCACCCCAGGGTTTAATTTAGTAAAGTCTAGGATAGAATCCAGGAATCTGCATTGTTTCATAAATATCCCAGATGATTCTTAGGTAGGTGATCTGAGGAACACTTTCTAACATTATGATAGATAGTTATAGATATAACTCATGTTGGAGGCTGAGAACAGAACTCTAGAAGCATTCAAGAAGGATGGACTGAATATATTTGATATCCAAAATATATAAACATATAACTCAATAGCCAGGAAGAAAAAAAAAACACAATTTAAAAATGGATAAAGGGCCCAGATAGATATTTTTTCAAAGAAGACATATAAATGGTCAATAGATACATGAAAAGGTGCTAAATATCACTAATGGTCAGAGGAGTGCAAATCAATACTACAATGAGATATCACCTCACACCTTTTAGGATGGTTATTATAAAAAATACAAGAGATAACAAATGTTGGTCTGATTGCAGAGAAATGGGAACCCTTATACACTGTTGATGGGAATGTAAATTGGTACAGCCACTGTGGCAAAAAATATGGTAGTTCCTCAAAAACTTGAAAATAGAACTACCATATGTTCCAACAGTCATTTCTGGGTACATATCCAAAGGAAATAAAATCAGTATCTCAGAGAGAGATCTGCAGCTCCAATCATTGCAGCATTTTACACAATAGCAGAGATGTCCAAACAACTTGAATGTTTTTCAACAGATGAGTGGATAAAGAAAATGTATATTTATGGAACATTATCTATGTATACATATAAAAGCCAAGCAACTGACCAGAATGATGGAATGACTGGAACAACTGGAATGACCAGTCGCTATGACATGCACTTAGGGAGGGGTCAACCAGCCTGATTGGGGGGGGGGGGGTTTGAGGGCTGATTGGCCCCCTCAACCTCCCATGGCCCCTCCCCCTCTTTGGCCAACCTCCCGCAGCCCTTCCCCCTCCAGCCCCGCCCCAATCGGCTCCCCCACCCCATTGGGGTTGGGACCTGCCAGCCCTACCTCCTTTGGCTCCTCCCCCTGGCAGGCCCAGCCCCTACTTGAGCATGAATTCGTGCACCGGGCTTCTAGTTCAGCCATAAAAAGGAAGGAAATACTGCCATTTGTGACAGCATGGATGAATCTGAAGGCATCGTGCTAAGTGAAAAAAGAGAAAGACGCGCTATATGGTATAACTTTATGTGGAATCTTTTATTAAAAACAGATTTCACAGAAACAGAATAGAATGGTGTTTGCTAGGCACTGGAGGAGTGGGAAATGAGGAGATACAGGTTAAAGGGTACAGACTTTGAGTTTTAAGAAGAATAAGTTCTGAGGATCTAATATATAGCAGTGACTATAATTGATATGGTATTATTATACACTTGAAAGTTGCTGAAAGATCTTAAGCATTCTCATCATTAAAAAAATGAAAGTTAACAATGTGAGATTATGGGTGTATTAATTACCTTAATCTTGGTAATCATTCCATAATGTATATGTATATACAAACATCACATTGTACATTTTATTTATATACAATTATATTTGTTATTCCTTAATAAAGTTGGGGGAATAAAAGGATGGCATGGTCAGGGTTGTCAGATATTTGGAAAGAGGTCAAGTGAGAAAGGATCTGAAGTATCCTTTAAGCTTAGCAATTGGACAACTGTTAAAGCAAAAGGGTTGCAAACCAGTTTTAGAGGATGAACATATTACTTAGAGCTAAAACTGATTTTTAGTATTATTGTGGGACTCAGACACACATTTACAGAGAGATAGTGAAGATAAACTAGTTAAAATATGTCAACCTGGTGTCTAGTCCCAGCTTTACTATTAACTAGCTATACACTTAGTGGCCAGATTATTATGATCTGTGAATACATAATAATCTGGCCACTAAGTGTATATCCTATATAATAAAACGCTAATAAGCAAATTGTCCCCTTGACCAGGAGTTCGACCAGCAGGCAGGCCAGCCAACCGCCCAAGTCCTCTCCCCCTGGCCAGGCTGGCCAGACTCACCCATGCATGAATTCATGCACCAGGCTCTACACACACACACACACACACACACACACACACACACACACTCACACACTCACACACTCACACACTCACACTCACACACTCTGAGTGGCCAGATTATTATGCGTTTGGAGATCATGATAATCTTGGCCACTCAATGTATATTCTTAGGTAGCTCATTAACATTAATGAGCCTCAGTTTCTGCAAAGTAGAAGAAATATCTTGCATATACCTCACAGCATATGAAACATTGAATGTAAAAGTACTTATTAAACTGTAAGATAGATTTATACTTCTTATTGAACTTCTATTGACTGTTCTCTAATTAGTAAGGCAGGTATTTTATGATTAAGTGAGGCTAAGAATTTGGGGAGGCTTATGGAAACCAACCACCTATATAACCAGGATCCATGAAATCAACACTTTGGTGAATTTTGATAATCAAGAATAAATAGCTCTTGCAAAGAAGAGCTATATTATTATTGGTCCCATTTGTCACTTTCATTGTGATATTTTATTTTTTTTCTAACATGTATCTCTCTGTTTTTGCCATTAAAAGCCAGAAAACACTTTCTACGTCTTCAATTCAAAATGAAATCCCAAAGAAAAAGTCCAAGTTTGAGTCAATCACAACCAATGGAGACAGGTGAGCCAATTGGAGTGTGTGTGCAGGCTTCCATTTGAAATGCATACACAGTTCCTGAAACAGGAATATATTTTAGGATGTGCTTGGAGCTAATGTATGGTTTTCAGTGAACCTCTTAGGGTCACTATGCCAGCCACTTGATATCTTATAAGTAAGCTGTACTGATATTTATTTATAAATCTAACCTTGTTATTAAATAATAGGCAGGAACATATAACTGGATTTAATAGCAATCATATTCTGCAACCCACCAATAACTCACCACACTAATACTAAGAAATCATCAGCTGGGTGCCTTCCATTATGATCTGTGCCTGCAGCCTCCTCCTCCAGGCAGGATAGGAGGCAGTCTTAAGAGGCAGGGCAGAGACAAGTTAGAGTTCAGGTAGTGTTATTCGGTCTAAGGGATGATCCAGGCCTCCTTAGCTGACAGAAAGACAGTGCAATGCAGATGCTAGATAGGAGAGAAGGAGATGCATTTAAATATTTTTGTTTCATTTTAAGCCTATCTGTATATTTTATGCCTTTCATCCCTCCTCAACGATGCTTTCTTTTACAGGCTGCACTGTCCTAATACCTAGTGTCCCATCTGTGTTGGTGCAGAGGATTGCTTCCCAACAGAGTATTAGACCCAACCATTTTTTTGTTTCTCCATGGGCCCAGCATCATGAAGTGTTACCAATTGATACACTGTCCCCGGAACCCTTGAAATTATTTCCATTCTGAAGAGTCTTCCCAGTCTCAGTACTCCCTTCCAGCCAGTGGTGGATTTGGGATCAGACCAGCAAATAGGATTACCAGGGCTGAATTTTGTTTTTTTAATGGGGTATAAAGTGTCTGTGAAGTTTACTCTTTCTGATTACTCCTGCAAGGTGTCTTTTTAACAACTAGCATCATTGATTTAAAACTTCTCAGGTAGTGTTAGTGGGAGGAATCTGTTGAAATCCCAGGTTGAGATTGACGCGGGAGTTTGCCACGTCTCTGTTCCTTTCCTCACTAGATGTCCAGAATTCATGCCTGGCCAGGTGGCACGGTTGCTTGGAACATCATCCCAATATTCTGAGATTACAGGTTCAATCCCTGGTTGGAGCACATGCAGGAATCAACCAATAAATGCATGAATAAGTGGAACAGCAACAACAAAAGTCACAGAATTCTTGATATGGGAAGTGTCAGTCAACAGACCAGTTGTAGTCTAGGGAAAATTGGCTTGCTTCCTATTAAATTCATCTTTTATCCTTTTTTTTTTTAAAGGACTGACTGTTCATTCCTGGGATGGAATGTAGCAGCTTCTTAGCAGCTATACCACATCACAGTGCTTTGGGGCAAAAAACAGAATCAAAAGAGGAGCTCTATGAGAAGCATTAAAGAAAAATGCATGTGCTTACACTTCTTGATCATTGGTCCAGATTCTAGGGAAATTAATCACAAAAAAATTATGACATTACCCATAAATAATTGGGGATCTTCAGTGAAATAGATTGGCTCTTGTGAAATGGCATTTATTTTAGTCCTGAATGTGAGAGGAAATGCTGCAGGAATGCTGCAGGTTGTAGCTTGGCTATCTGATGATCACCTTGCCTGCACAGTAGAGCAAATGCTGTTGAGTCTGACGTGATACTGGGAATTCACATAGTGGCTCCTCCCTTGAGCTTGCAGTCAGTGGTCTACCATGTGTCCTCAGGTAGAAAAAAAATTTGCCAAGCATTTATCTCAGTCTGTTGGGATCTTGTTTCCAGGTGTATTTTTCATTTGACTCAAACTCATAAAAATTAAAAGGAGGGAAAAAAGAAAAAAGTTTATCCATCCAAGTTATGATTTTTTTTCTATCCATTTTTCTACTCAGCTTTTCCCCAGACCTGGCTCTGGACTCACCAGGCACTGACCACTTTGTCATCATTGCCCAACTGAAGGAAGAAGTGGCCACTCTAAAGAAGATGCTGCATCAAAAAGATCAGATGATTTTAGAGAAAGAGAAGAAGGTATGATTTAATTAGTGCCTCTCAGGCCAGAATGATGACAGGGTACGCTATGTGGAAGAGGGCATGATGCTAACTCTAACAGTTCTTAGTTGGGTACTTAACATTGATGCTTTGAGAGAGATCCAGTGGCAAGGTTGGGATATCCTGGGGAGAGGTTTGTTGTCTGCCAAGATAACTCATGGCATGGTATCACTGTAATGGATCCATCCCATTCAAGTGGGTTTAGAAAGTTGATTTTCTCAGCATTTGGAGGGAGCTTCCATTTGTCAGGGAGAACTTGTGTTATCCAGGCTTACAGAGAAAATGGATAAAACCACAGTGCTCCCTCCTAATTTACAATACGGCATGTAACTGGATATTATTTTTCTCAGTATGAGCTGCCTTGGAAGATTGTAATCAGACAGTGCTAACTGAGCATGGATTTGGGATAGGAGGAGGTAGTTATGTAATTGGAATTTTTAATGCTCTCAGGCTAAGAGAACCTGATGCCTCCATCTCTGTTATTGGGATGGCATGTCCGTGGGACAGTAATACTCAAAATATGTGGGCGAGGTCTCCCTTCTCCCTGGACAGTGTTCAGGTAGGCCTTCCTTTATGACTCTTGTGTCACTTTGCTTCCATTGCTGACAACTCTCTTCCTGAGTGACCCACTTTTTAAACACACTGTGCTCGCTTCAGCAGCACATAGACTAAAATTGGAATGATACAGAGAAGATTCGCATGACCCTGTGCAAGGATGACACGCAAATTTATGATGCGCTCCATATTTGAAAAAAGTAAAACGTTAATATTTCCAGTAAAGCCTTATTCTGTTCTATGAGTCATCCATCCTCTTTAAGGGGACTTATTCCATCCTTGTTCTGATTCATGTCTAGTATTTCTTACTACACATTCTCCAAGAGTATTTAATTTTTGCCTTAATATATTAATGAAAGTAATAATAGCTAACTTCTGTTGGATGCTTACTATGGGCCTGACTCTATTCTAAGTACTTTATATATATTAACTAATGCATCGTCATAACAACTCTTTAAGGTAGGAATTATTATTATCATCTTATTTTTTAATGAAGACTTTTAAAAATTTCATTTATTGATTTGAGAGACGGAAAGGGAAGTATTGATTTGTTGTTTCACTTATTTTCTTTTTATTTTTTTAGAATGTTACTATTTTTTAATATATTTTATTGATTTTTACAGAGAGGAACAGAGAGGGATAGAGAGTTAGAAACATCAATGAGAATCATCAATCAGCTGCCTCTTGCACACCCCCTACTGGGGATGTGCCTGCAACCAAGGTACATGCCCTTGACTGGAATCGAACCTGGGATCTTTCAGTCCACAGGCCAACGCTCTATCCACTGAGCCAAACCGATTTTGGCTGTTGTTCCACTTATTAATGCATTTAATGGTTAATTCTTGTATATACCCTGACAGGGGATCGAACCTACAGCCTTGGCTAATTGGACCGACACTCAAACCAACTGAGCTACCCCTCCAGAGCTATTATCATTATCATTTTATAGATGAAGAGTATCTCCTCCAATATGTTTCCTCTTAAGGTTCCAATTCCTTCAACTAGCTGTTTTCCCCTGAGCCTGTATGTTGTCTTGTGCCTGGTTTGGAATGCTGTTACTCATTCCAGGGGCTAACAAAGACATTTATACCTTCACATGCAGTCTTTCAATCTAATTTCTACCTCATTTTACAGATGAGAAAATGGATCCAAAGCAAGTAAATGATGTGTCGTCCAATTCACATAATTAAGTAAATGGCAGAGCAAAGGAATGAATTCAAGTCATTCCCACTGTACTGTTCTTTCAGCTGTGCTGTGCTTTCTTCTTCCAGTAAGATGGAGATTCATGGGAAGAGGCCAATATTCTCCCACTGTATTGCATGACTGTCAGATGAAAGTAGACTCAAGTATATTTTATTCATGGACTAGATCAGAATGGCACATAAAAGGATTTTTGCAAAATAGAGACAAAACAAACACTTGTTTCTACTGCTTTGCAAAGTTAGGGTTTAAAAGCAGCAAAAAACAAATAGTAGATTGTTCCCTAAAACTTTGAGGATGAAGGTCACACTATTGGCTTGGAATGCAGGCTCTTTCATGTCCTGCCTTCCTGTCTCTAGCCTCATCTCCTGTCATTTCCCATGCACATCAGTCATTAGAACAAGCTCTCAGTTATCTCACACTCTGCCTATACCCTTGCTGTACCCTTGGCTTTGGTGCCCTTCTTTCCTCACATTCCAGTTGCTGCTTGTACCTCAAAACTCATCTTACACCTGATTTCTCTGATTTAAGTAGCTTTTGTGCTCCTTGAATGACATAGTCAACAGGAGGAGGCCTGGAGTTTGAATCTTAGCTCTGTTACTTGCTAGCCTATATGATCTTGGCTGTGTTACCTAGCCCTTTCTAAGTCTTGGTTTTCTCATCTATAAAATGGGAAGAAGAATATTTCTCCCCATAGGGTTATCATAGTATTGAATGAGTAATTAATCAGTTTTATTGAAACGGTAAAAATTCAGTACATGGAAGCAGCTATTATTCTCATGGATGTTCTCAAATCATCAGTCAGCCTGGCCAGTGTGGTTTGGTGGTTGAGCATGGACCCAAGAACCAAGAGTTCACCGGTTCCATTCCCGGTCAGGGCATATGCCTGGGTTGCGGACTTGATCCCCAGCAGTGGGTGATGCAGGAGGCAGCCAGTTGATGTCTTTCTCATTGAAGTTTCTATCTATACCTCTCCTCCCTCTCTCTCTAAAATCAATGAAAACATGTTTTAAGAAAAAGTCAAAGTATATTATAATCACTAATTTTTTTGGAGGTATACATGAAATTTTTCAAACTTGCTAGTGGTTAAGTATCAGAAATGCTACTACAGGATTTTGTGTAACTTTCAGGAAATATTTAGAAAAAAATAGGATATGGAATTCTCTGGCTTTGATTTAGGTATGGATCTTCAGGAAAGCCCTGGACTTTATTAATTTGGAGTACTATTTAGTTCTCTGTTAACGAAATATTTTCTATTGCACAGAAATTTATTCTGGTTACTTTGCCTTTTCCCTCAGATCACAGAGTTGAAGGCTGATTTTCAATACCAAGAATCTCAGATGAGAGCCAAAATGAACCAAATGGAGAAAACCCACAAAGAAGTCACAGAACAATTGCAGGTGGTGATTGCTCATTCTATGTGGTAACTTGTGTGTTTAATTGATTACATTTTAAGTGATCATCTCTTAGCTTTATTTTCCCCCCAAATATTGACAAGTCTAATCCACCTTATACATGTCTTCTATGGTTTCATTCTTAGATGTGTTCTGATCTTTTCCCTTCAAAAACAGAGGAATTAATATTTTCTTTGAATTTGGGATAAAGCAGTTGTAATTTCAGATTTCTGAATTATAAATTCTGTTTTTCCAGCATATTAGGGCACTCCATGGCTTGTTTGTGTTGCATAAAACATCTTTTGTAACAGTGGATCCCAGGAGGTTGGAGTATATTGATTAACCTCCTGCAAATACCTTTGTTCCCCATACCTAGCTCTAGAGTTTGCTGTTTTCTCTAAAATATGTTCATCTCTTTCTGACCATCTGCATCTGCATGGAAAATGTATCCGATCCTGTTAAAACATCCTTCTTGCACTTTTTTTTTTAAGGCAAAAAACAGGGAGCTTCTGAAGCAAGCAGCTGCCTTGTCCAAGAGCAAGAAGTTGGAGAAGTCAGGAGCTATAACCTCTCCGTGAGAGACCACCAGGAGGTTCCCCAGCAACAGCAAATGGGTTCCTGAGTTAGGGTTGGCAACTTAGGAACTCCAAGTGTTCTTCAGAAATCTGTTTTATTACAGTTAGCCTTTGTGTGATTGCAGTGGCTGAATGGAAACACCTGGTTTTCACTGTGTTATGACTGCATGCTTGAATGTTTGGAGTTTCAGGCTCTTTTTCTCTCACTCTCACACTCCCAATCCTCTCTCCTCCCTTTCCCTCACTTTCTCACAGTGCTACTAGCTCTGTCTCTTTCTACTATTTTCTCCTTCCCCTCCTCTTCCCCCTCCTCCTCCTCTTCCTCCTCTTCCTTCTCTCTCTCTCTCTTTCTCTCTTCTCTCTCTTTCTCTCTCTCTCTCTCTCTCTCTTTTTTTTTTTTTTTTTTTTTGTGATGGTTACTGCTCAGTGTTATGTGCAGAATGTTTTCGTTTTTTTTTGTCCATCGTTACATCCTGCCATACCCATGAGCAAATAGTCTGGCATTAATTTCATATCACTGCCACCCTCTTAACTTTGAAAACTGCCACCTTGAGACTTGGTACAATGGACAAAGCTTTCTCTCTCCAATAAACCTTTCGCTTCAGGGTATACTCTTGGGTTTATTTCCAGGTATATTATGTATGAACTTTGTACTGTGTATGGCCAGAATTTTATTTATTAAAAAAATTTTTTTTTCTTGGTAAAGGAATAATGGTAGCCTAGCTTGTTCTTCTTGTAAAAGTGATGCCTCTTTTTTTTTTAAGTCCTACTCCAGCTTTTAGTAAAAGAATCAAATCTCTTCTTTCTTGTTACCTTGAAGTCTTAAAAACTGATTGTTAAGGTGAAACAATTCAGTGCATAAGTATGGAGCTAAGTGCCTTTTGGAGGATTTCTTGGAAGAGCATTTAAGAAGATACTTAGGGAGGTAGCAAAGTTTTGAATGGTCTGTCTTTATAAGTACGGGCAGACAGAAAGGTTGTCCAGGTTGTACTGGACACTTCCCTACCCACCCCTTTTCTGATTGTTTTTATGTGACTGATTTTAAATTCTCACACAGCCACTTCTTTTAACAAAAAACCAAAAACCCTTACTTGCTTATATCAGTTGTCATACTTGGCCATTGTCAGAGAACTTTTTTTTTACATGAGCAGATTCAAAATGGGATAATACTCAAACTACAGAGCTTTTTGGAGGTCAGTACAAGCTGCTCAAGTATGAACTCTGAGTCTGGTTGAAAGAAATGATATCCCTGTAACTTCTCCCTTCCTCCCCTTCTCCAGCCTGTATGCTCCCTGCTTTTAACAGAAAAGCATGGAAAACAGGTGCTGTTCTCAGAAACAGCTTGGTCTTAGCCAGAATTGTTCATGTCCTATTCTCTCTTCTTGACCCAATAAGCAGGCACATGGTTTTACTTTTCTAGAAGAGAGGATAAGTTTGCATTGCTAGCCTTACTCTCAAGTCCTCTATATGATGTTTGTGAAAGAAATTAGAGGCATGTAGTGTGCCATGATACAGTAAAACCAGCTATCTTGGAATCATTAATGCAGAGGGGTACTTGAGTTAGAGGTAATCATGAGAGGAGATGACATGTGTACCTCAGGCTACTGATATTGTAGCAGGAAGTTTAACTTTCTAGACGTTTCCTAGAAGCAAACACGTATCAGTGTGATAGCATTCTCACCAGTGGATCCACGCGTACAACGGGACAGATGTGGGAATGGGAGGCTTCCTTCTGATAAGAGGAACAATAGACCATGCTGTTTCTATATCACTCTAGTAAGGGATGTAATTTTTCCTTCCAAGCAAGGGAAAAGGCAGTGCTAAATAGTTTTATAACTTTTTGAATGAGAAACTTTTAGGTAAAGACAAACCGTCAGATAATATTTTTCAAATGCATATATGTTGACTGTGGGGAAAAGATTGTAATAAAAAAAAAAGTTACAGTCATGGTTTTTGTTTAATTTTAAAGACTTGAGAAATTCTGTTACATGAAGTGACAATATAAAAGCATATTTTATACTAAATCTTTTTTTAAGATCTTGGCACTTAATATAAAGCAAATTCGCGCATTTTCTAACTTTCTACAAGTTCTAAAAAGGGAAGGAAGAAACCTCAGTCTTGCAATTTTGGTTTTTAAAAATCATGACACTGTTTTACCATGAAAATAAGTAGCTAACTTTTGGTAACACCTTTTGTTTATTTGTATGTTTGTGATAATGGACATTTTAAAACAGGAATGTTTTGGTTTGTACAGACTTTGACAAATGTGTGTTAATAAAAATTCATATCGAGTCAAATATAATCATTGGTGTGGTTTTTTTCTCATTTATTCCTGCTGGTTCACCAGTAAATCTTATTATCCCCTTCAACTTAGAAAACAGTCAGTTTTGGCCAGTGGGTGTAGCTCAGCAGTTGACCTAGGAACCAAATGGTCGCTATTTGATTCTCTTTCAATCACCAGTCAGAGCACATGCTCTGGTTGTGGGCTTGATCCCCAGTAGGCAGCCCATCTCTATGATGTTCCTCTCTCATTCAAGTTTCTATCTGTTCTTCCTCCGATCTCTCTAAAAACCAATAAAAAAACATATATAGCCCTAGCTAGTTTGGCTCTAGTGTCTGCCTGCAGACCAAAGGGTCCCGGGTTAGATTCTACTCAAGAGCACATACCTTGGGTGCAGGCCCCTCCCTAGCCTCGGCCCTGGTCAGGACTTGTGCAGGAGGCAACCAACGGATGTGCTTCTTTTGCATAGATGTTTCTACTTTTCTCTAAAAAATCAAAAGAATGTCCTCAGGTGAGGCTAAACAAACACACACACACACAAATACACATAAGTAAAAATAGAAAACAGTTTGTCTTGCTTGTCAACCTAAAAATGTAAAGTCTGCCCTATCCAGTGTGAATCAGTTGGTTGAGCATCATCCCATACACTGAGGGTTGCTAGTTAATTCCTGGTCAGGGCACATGTTTGGGTTGCGGGTTGTCCCTGGTAGTGGGTGTGCAGGGGGCAGCCTCTCATTGATGTTTCTCTCTTACTCTCCCTTTCTCTCTCTAAAAAAAATAAATAAAAATACTTTTAAACAAATTTAAAAGCCTACCTATGCTAATCAAGTTTCAGGTCCATCAGTGAACAGCTCATTCTCTTTTGTGATTTTATTTACCCAGTTTAAGTGCTTGCTTTGTTACAAGCACTGTGCTAGGCAGTGAGTGTACAACAGTGAAGAATATCCACAAAGTTACTGCACTGTGCTAGGCAGTGAGTGTACAACAGTGAAGAATATCCACAGTTACTGACCTCATGTGGCTTCCATTTAAGTGGGATATTGAACAACACCATTGTTCCTTCATTTTATATTTTATCATCGTTATTCAGAATTGCCGAAGCCATTTTGGCTCAGTGGTAGAGTGTCGGTCTGCGGACTGAAAGGTCCCAGGTTCGATTCCGGTCAAGGGCATGTACATTGGTTGCGGGCACATCCCCGGTAGAGGGTGTGCAAGAGGCAGCTGGCCGATGTTTCTCTCTCATCGACGTTTCTAGCTCTCTATCTCCCTTCCTCTCTGTTAAAAATCAATAAAATATATAAAATAAAATAAAATAAAATAATAACAAAATAATATAGGCAGAAACCGGTTTGGTTCAGTGGATAGAGCATCGGCCTACAGACTAAAAGGTCCCAGGTTCGATTCTGGTCAAGGGCATGTACCTTGGTTGTGGGCACATCCCCGGTAGGGAGTGTGCAAGAGGCAGCTGATCCATGGTTCTCTCCCTCTCTCTTCCTCTCTGTAAAAAATAAAAAAAATATATATATATATATATAAAATATATGTATAATATATATATATATATATATATATATATATATATATATATATATAATATGAGAGGAATCTTAAGGTATGAATGAAAGGTTTTTGAGATACCATCTTAGGGAGAAGAATGTGTTAGTTTGAAAACTTGTTGTTAGTTTAATAATAGGTACCTTTCAGGTACTATCACATCCTGTTACATTCTATTTTATAGACTTCATGACAACTTACTTTCTCTAAGTTTAAGATAGTTTTATTTTGTAGGTGCTATGGTCTGAATGTTTGTATTCTCCTCAAAATTCATATGTCGAAATCCTAACCCCTAAACATGATAGTATTAGGCGGTGGGGCCTGTGGGGGGGAGAGGGGGGCTTAGGCTCTGCCTTCATGAGTGGAATTACTGCCTTTATGAAGGAGGCTCCAGAGAGATTCCTTTGAACCTCTATTACGTGAGGCCACAGCCAGAAGAAGCTGGCTATGAACTAGAAAGAGGGCCCTTATTATAAGGCAACCATGCTAGCAGCTTGATCCTGATCTTTCCAGCCTCCAGAACTGGAAGAAATTTCTGTTTTTGCCAAAACCGGTTTGTCTCAATGGATAGAGCGTCGGCTTGGGGCTTGAAAGGTCCCGGGTTCGATTCCGGTCAAGGGCATGTACCTTGGTTGCAGGCACATCTCCAGTAGGGGGTGTGCAAGAGGCAGCTGATCGATGACTCTCTCTCATCGATGTTTCTAACTCCCTATCTCTCTCCCTTCCTCTCTGTACAAAATCAATAAAATATATTTTTTTAAAAAAATTATGAACTGCTGGTTCACAGGTCAATACTCAAGCACTGAGCCACGCCAACCCAGCAATAAAAATATTAAAAAAATAAAAAATAAATTTTCTGTTGTTTATAAGCTACCCAGTCTGTGATTTTTGTTATAGCAGCCCAAACAGATTAAGACTGTAGGCTATGTATATGACCACCTTTATTATGTAAATTATCTTTTTTAAAAATATATTTTATTGAGTTTTTACAGAGAGGAAGGAATATGGTTAGTTAGAAACATCGATGAGAGAGAAACATCCATCAGCTGCCTCCTGCACACCTCCCACTGGGGATGTGCCCACAATCAAGGTACATGCTCTTGACCAGAATCGAACCTGGGACCCTTCAGTCCGCAGGCTGACGCTCTATCCACTGAGCCAAACTGGTTAGGGCTATTGTGTAAATTATCTTAATTTATACATTTATTCAGCTTTGTACATTTACTTAGCAATAAAAAAGACCAAACCCCTGACCAGTGTGGTTCAATTGGTTGGAGTATTGTCTCATGTACCAAAGGGTGGTAGGTTCCATTTTCACTCAGGGTTCATACCCAGGTTGCCATTTGATCCCCAGTTGGGGCACACGGGCAAGAGGCAACCAATCACTGTTCTCTCCCTCTCTCTTTTTCTTCTTCTTCTACCTTTTTCTTTCTCTAAAATAAATACACACATATACAT